CTTCTGCAGCGATGTAGGACGATTTTGAAGTTGGAGGAGAAAATGAAATAGGAGTTTTTTTCGACCTACCCTAACTGTTTAGAACGGGACTGCACAAAGTAAGCCTGCGCATTGCATAGCTACACCAGACGAGCGTTTGAGGTTAAAAAGTATATATATTTTTATTTTATTATTTTTGAAAATGACCGATCGTTTCGCTAGATAAGACCCTTCTTCCTCGGCTGGGATCGTTTAGAGCCCTTTGAAGCTGCATTTAAACTCCATTTTGGAAGTTCAAACTCGCGGGCACCATAGAAGTCCATTAAATGGAGATAATTCCTGAAATGTTTTCCTCAAAAAACATAATTTCTTTACGACTGAAGAAAGAAAGGCATGAACATCTTGAATGACAAGGGGGTGAGTACATTATCTGTAAATTTTTGTTCTGGAAGTGAACTACTCCTTTAATTACTCACCCTCATGTTGTTCCAAACCTGTAAGACCATCGTTCAACTTCGGAACACAAATTAAGATTTTTTGATGAAATTCAAGAGCCTTCTGCCCCTCCATAGACAGCAAGGGTCCTACCACGATCAAGGTCCAAGAACATTAACAAAATGGTCCATGTGACATCAGTGGTTCAACCGTAATTTTATGAAGCTACGAGAATACTTTTTGTGCGCAAACAATACTAAAATAACAACTTTATTCAACAATTCTTCTCCTCCGTGTCACCCCTAGCCCCATTTTGGAAAGTATCACAACGCATATGCGTGCATGGATCTGCACGTAAACAACATTGTGACACTCTCCAAAATGTTGCTAGGGGTGACGCAGAGTAGAGACCTGCACTCCCGCGGGAGTACTGCGGGACCCGCGGGACCCAACGTAACAGGGTGCGGCGTGGGACAACTCTTGATGGGCGAGTGCGGGTGCGGGCGGGAAGAGACTCGTGTGTGTGCGGGATAAGGGAGAATAAAATGATTCGCGGGACTCCCGCAAAATAGAAATTATCTAAACATAAAGTGTCTAAAACATATAAATTGTTATTTATCTGTTGCACAAAAGCAAAAAGAACAACTAATATTAACATTAAAATGATTGACATACGCAAGCTAGGCATAGTTTCTATTTATAACACGTGTTTAAAAGGTTGCAATGTAGCCAATCACAGACTCAGCTGTTGATTTCTGGAACGCAGTGGCCAATCAGAGGTGATTAAGTTAGAATCCACTCACCGCGGGCGGGCGCGGGACAGAATCTTGCGGGAGCGGGCGGGAGCGGGACTGAAAATTCCGTCCCGCGCAGGTCTCTAACGCAGAGGAGAAGAATTGTTGAATAAAGTCGTTATTTTAATTTTTTGCACACAAAAAGTATTCTCGTACTTGAAAAAAAGTACGGTTGTACCACTGATGTCCCATTACTTACTATATTTCTGGACCTTGATCGTGGTAGGACCCTTGCTGTCTATGGAGGGTCAGAAAGCTCTCGGATTTCATCAATTTGTGTTCTGAAGATGAACAAAGGTCTTACAGGTTTGGAACGACATGAGCGTGAGTAATTAATGACAGAATTTTCATTTTTGAGTGAACTATCCGTTTAAGCTATATCGCAATTCTTGTCTTTCTGTCCCCAAATTTAAAACCTCTTGAAATCACAGTTAAGACTTTCTTGTACCATTTAAGACTTTTATGGCCTTAAATTTGATACAACTAAATTTAAGACTTTTTAAAACCTGTGGAAACCCTGAAGTTAGGATACTGTTTTCCTTCTCAGAAATCTGTATTGCTTTACCAATGATACACAGTGCCCGAAAAAAAAAAAAACACTTAAAGGTATAGTTCACCCAAAAATGAAAATCACCCCATGATTTACTCACCCTCAAACCATCCTAGGTGTATATGACTTTCTTCTTTCAGACAAATACAATCAGAGTTAAAATAAAGGAGGGTTAATAAAGGTATCCTGAAGCGAATCAATGTGTTTTTGTAAGAAAAATATCCATATTTAAGACTTTCTAAACCGTAACCTCTAGCTTCCGCTAACTGTCATACGTTCATGAGAGAGTGGCGTTCCAGCAGATGACACAGGATGCAGAGGAGAGAACAAACAAAAAAAACACCGGTCATGAATTAAAAGTACAAAACAAGGATTTGTAAAGAAAAATGTCAGAGGATTTCCATATAAGCCAAGAGACTGGCTTTCTTTTGCTGTAAACAAAACTTGGTTCTCGCGAGACTAGCATATTCTCACCGGAGCTTACGCTACGCTTACATGCTACGTCATCCGCTGGAATGCCACTCTCTACAACAGTTAGCGGAAGCTAGAGATTGCGGTTTATAAAATTTTAAATATGGATATCAATTACGCTCAGGAAGCCTTTATTAACCCCCTGGAGCCGTGTGGAGCACTTTTTATGATGGATGGATGCACTTTATTGGCCTTCTATTGGACTATTGAATATCAACACCCATTCACTGCCATTATAAAGCTTGGAAGAGCCAGGACATTTTTTAATATCACTCCAATTGTATTCGTCTGAAAGAAGAAAGTCGTATATACCTAGGAAGGCTCAAGTAAGTGAGTAAATCATGGGGCAGTTTTCATTTTTGGGTGAACTATACCTTTAATTTACAATATTGAACAACCACAGTCGATCCCATGATGTGCATTACCTGGTTCTAGCCATTTCCAGTTAGTGTAGGTGACCTGGTCTGCTGTCCCATCCTGACCGATCCAATGGTACTCCCTGGAGCCTTTAGTGTCCTGTAGCCCCGTCCAGAAATACAACACCTCAGTGCTGATGTGCTCTTTCAGAAGACTGTTAATGAAGGCCTGTTCAAATCTAGAGAGAGGATTATACATCTTCATGTTACTAGAAAATTTCAAAATTAGAAACTAGTTTAGTTTTATTAATGGCTCACTATTATTATTTATCATACTTGTGGTATAAAATTGTCACGTAACTCATTCTGCACTGTATGTTCTACCAACATGATGCTTCATATCACGCGTGTTATTCCAGTTTTGAAAGATCAGACTTAATTCAAAGAGTCATATCTAGAGAGCAGTAGCCGGTTGCATAAACCGCTTAGACTAGTCTTTAAAAAATTAGTCAACTATTTTTTTTATTAAGATTGGGGGTAACATTTTAAAGTCAGTCATTAAAAATGCATTTAGTCAGTTACCCCTTGGCTAACTGCTAGTTGGTAAAACTAGTTCTTAAGATACAGTCTTAATATAGTGGTTATGTTTAAGCAACTGGCAGCAGAATATGATTTTTTTTTATCACTTGGACAAGCAAGTGGCTACTTTCTATGAGAAAAAATTACTTTTTTGTTATTTTGTTCTTCTTTTTTCAAACTATTGTTCTTTTGCAGGAAAAATAATGTATCTGTTCCAGAATAAATACATTTTACATCTTGCATCTTGATATATTAGTGTGACATTCTAAACCAATGTATTCAGCGATACTATTAACTGTAAGATTATAGCTCTTTGTTTCATGCTGATCTTACAAGTTGTAAATCAAATATATGTTAACAGTTACCTGTTATTAATGGTGATGTGGCAGCTGTTTTTATAGAACACCAGCTCAGTGTCCACTTTATAGCAAGCATTGCCATGTCTCTTCCAATTCTAGAGAGAAGAAAAAAACAGATGTCTGCTTATTCATGAATCAGATTCACATAGGCGGCAATAACAACAACATGAAGCACAAACATGATGTATATCCATGGAGTTGGAGTGAATTGTTCCATAGTGATGGTCACTCACCCTGTCTGAAGGGCAGCCTTCCTCTGGGGCGCTCTCATTCACACTCCCATTCGACTTACACATGTAAGCCCTCGGCTTTTCACAATCAGACACAGACCATGTATGATGCTGCAAACACACATAGAGAAATTAGAGCCGAGCTAATATTCAGAACAGCGCTCTTATTTATGTGATATAATCTGACATGACGAAACACACACACACACACCTCTCCTGAATAGTACACGCAGTGGATGGTATTTGGTAGAAGTGGTGGAGGTTGAGCTCTGGCCCAGTATGTGAAAGAAACTGGTACTTTATCGACCCATTCAAAAACTGAGGTGTTTCCATCACCCAAAAGACCAATCCATACCTCTGTCTTCAGGTCTGTCACATATAAAGTCATAAAACATATAAAGTCTGTACAAATGTATGACACTGTATAATATATATATATATATATATATATATATATATATATATATATAATAAA